TAACAGAGTAAATTGGGGTGTTGAGCTTTTGTTGAACACACTTAATACTGTTCTGTTTTTAATTTCCCCATGTTGGAAAATAATGGTTTGGCTAGATTGGTCCTAATTGTTTACGAGGAATAACTGGTTGTGGATGAGATATTTGAAATATATATATATGTATATGTATATATATATGTGTGTGTGTGTGTATATATATATATATATATATGTATATGTATATATATGTGTGTGTGTATATATATACATATATATTATTTTAGAACAGCTTGAAACATAAATACTTCATCAAATATATTGATATACCTATTGATATACATCTCTCAAGCCACACATTATATAATTGTTTATAAAAGTCTATCACTTTCCTCCTTTTGCAATTTATTTTCTGTAGAGACACCAAAGTGATTATTTTCAAAATTAAATTCAATCCCAGGATTTGCATTTCATTGGAATGCAACTAAAACTCTTCCTCCTGAGYCACCAGGCCTACATGATCTGGCTGCTACCCACCTCTTTGACCCTACCCCTCCCTTTCCTACCTTACTCCCTACCCTCTAACCACTCTGTTTCTTTGTGAGGACTTTTACACTTGCTGTCACTCTCCTGCAACCTTATTGCCTCCTGATGTTTATCCTGCTGGTTCCTCATCATCACTTAAATTTCACTTACAGCTCAAATTTCATCTGAATAAGAAAAAAATTTTTCCCTCTTCTCTAAGTTGGCCATCCCTTTATTTCCAATCATAGAACATTCTTGTGCTTTATTTTTAAAAGGACTTTTTCAATACTCAAAATTATTTTACTTCTGTATTTTCTATTAAACTAGAACATAAGCTCCATGAATGCAAGAAAGTATCTCTGGTGCCTAGAMTAGAACCCAGAATACAGAAGGGTTCAAGAGCATTTGTTGAATGAATGAGTTACTTCTAAGTCTGTTGTGCCTGGAATTAAATATGTCTCATAAAAATACCATAAGGCACAAGTACATTTATTGAGTGATCCCAATCTAAATAAATATGAGAAAGTAGAAGTTAAAATCAAAATTATAAAGTTCTTTTCTATTATTCTTTGATCTGCCTGTTAAGAACAATAATTCTGTTGGTGAAATAAGGATATAAGCAATGGAAAACTCAGAACTGCTTGGTGGGATAAACAGGCCATGTTATTTATTTATGGACATAGACTTCTTCTTTTGTAAGAGTTACTCTTCTGTACTCAAATATGCCCCTGTGGGTCTTTACCAAAATTTTCCAGGTGAGCATCAGAACATTTCTAAATATCCTAGTTCATGCTCCTACCCTTGCCCTCTCACCTGTAAAAAGTGAGTCTTTTGACTACCTTCTACATAGCAGCATCATTTCCAAACCCCTGACATTGTTATCTGGTCTCCCCCATTTGCAGTGAACTTGTTTTGGCATAAGTCTTTGGGTTCCTAAAATAAAGCYTCTATCTGTCCCAGATGTCCTTTTATTGAGTTCATAGAATACAAATGGAAAAAGGTTATTACCAGGCAAAGATGTTTAAAAATGAAAATCAAACCTAATACATGGACTCAGACAACTGGAATAAGGAATATAATATTTATAAAACTGAGTAGGAGGTTGCAATCATTGCTCTAAAATAAAGCATTAAAAATTAATTCATAGCAAACCTATCTGTGCTACAGCAAGCCTTCCTTTCATTAAAGTAGCGCTGCATGTGTCTCCAGAATGAGTTCCCAAATAGGTAAATAGCTCATAGGAACTGAGTGCKCTGCAAACTGCAGAGGGGCTACCTGAAGCATGATTTAGAGTTGCTTTTAGTATTAAAGCTTTACAGACCTTTCAKTTTGAACCAATTAATTGTGGTTCTTGCAGTTTCCCTATATTTTTTGCCCTTGAGTATTACTAGGAATATTTAATTTGCATGCTTCCTGTTCGTCTTCATTTGATTAATCCAAATGGTGCTATGTTATTTGATTAATTCATATGCTGCAGAATATTGAATCTTGGGGAACTGTGGGTGCCAGTTGTAAATTATACTTAAAAGTTTTCCAAAGGTTTTTCATTTCAAGAACTTCATGTTGTACATTTTTTCCTCTTTTCTTCCATTTCATGTTATTACCATTTTAAGTATTATGTTGTTATAATTATTGGTTTCCTACTTCATAATCCATTACAAAGAAAACCTTACAGTACTATTTCTGTATTTTCAGCTGATATGAGGTTATTTTTCCCCAATTTACAACATTCTTTTGAAGCCCTAAAATAAATAACCTTATAACCTTTAGGCCCTATTGATTTTCAAATGATTTCAAATAAAGAACATTCAGTTTCCATTGCACTGACAAACTGCTCAATCCCTGAGCAATCCCTATTGGATTCCCATTAAATGAAAGAGACAGGAAACAACAGAAAATACAAAAAGTGGATTTGAGGTAGTGGGGAGAGGTGGTCACAACTCAGCTCAGTAAATGGATACTTAACCTTTGACCAATGACGACAGGTCTCCTTTAGTTCTATTAGACCAAGAGTGAGCTGTTATGATTAAATAAAACAGGAAAAAAAAACTGTTTAGAGCCTTACTGAGTATGTCCTGGGAATTAAAACATATGGCAGGGATAAGGAAAAAAGATTTTCCTTATGCTAATGACCCTTGATGTCTGAAATAAATTAGATCCATTAGAGTTTATGCTCAATAAAAGAAAGATTTTAAGCACTCCAAAGTTAGTGACTCGAGACCAGTTTTTGCTCTGAAATTCAATCTGCCTCCTTATTAATTCTTAGTGAGGCTCCAGAGCAGACAGGGGATGCAAAAATCATAATTCTGTACTGAACCAGAATTTTAAAGGACCACAGGTTTCTTTTCCTTTTCTTTTAATTAAACCATTTTTCATGCTTCCCATTTTGTTTCCTTCATTAATTTGATTTTGTTCCCATTTTTGTTTCATTTTTTTTTTCTTTTCAAGGTTTCATTTATCCTATTTCAACTGAACAGAGAACCCAGAATGAATATGGATTTTCTTGTAAGTTTGATGTTTGGATTTTATGTTGCTGAATAATCATTTAACATTATTGCCCCCAGTTCAAATTTGCCTTTCTTTGGATCACAGATGTGCACACAGGAAATAGGAACCTAATATATTCTAACATGAAAAACAAATTAGATTTTTGATGCAGAAGAGAAGAAAGGGCCATTTCAAGTCTCTGCCTGATTTAAAAATCTGTCAGTCTACCATTCAAAGCTTGAGTCTGGTAACTGAGAAAACATATCATGTACCATGCTGATATAAATAAAGGGCAGGGTTCAAATATTAAAAGGGAAAAGGTTGAGAAAATGCAGACCTATTGTGCTAGAAATCATGAATGTTGAGTAAGTAATTATGGCCTGGTAAAGTAAAACATTAAGGATTTCAATATAATATTCTAACTGGACTTCAGAATCTTCCTGCAAAGCCTTAGATAAAAACCAGCAGCAAAGAGGTGTCAGCACTTTAAGATTAGTGCTCACATAGTCAGGAGTATTTAGGATGTCACTGGTTGTCTGGAAAAAAAGATATGTCAATGCTGATTGATTGACAGGACAATAAATATTCTGCAAATTTTAGAATGAACAGTATTTTTAAGAAGAAAGCATCATCTTCCATAGTACATTTAAATATGAAATGCTAAAAGAGATGAAGCAATTTCCAATAGCAAATTCACTTATATTCCCAACATACAAAAAATACCATGACTGGAGAGTGTGGGTTATCACATGATCCACTGGCAAATGAAGGGATGAGTTATGTCCCCCATATAAACCATGTGGCTGTGAGCCTTAGGAAAGAGCAGTGGCTCCTCAAATTTTTGGAGGTCACAGAACCTATGAATTGGAAAATTCTTTCTCCCACAAATACGTGTGTATAAAACTGACCATAAAATTTGAGTTTGCCTTGACCACCTGAAGTATCAATTGAAACACCCCTTTTGTAGTGAGCAGAGCAGCAACTTTAATTAGCTTTGCTGAGCATTTCTCGTGAGTCACAGAAAACTGAAACCAGAGACTTAACAATGTTCAAAGTAGTTCAACAAAGGTTTAATTTTGGCTTAAATTATCAGTTTTTATCATCTTTTCCAGTTAGATCAAACGTGTCTCATGCCACCAAGGAACATACAACACTTATAGGAGTTCTGTTCTTGCTTCTTCCAAACATGGGTCCCCTGGGACGAACGGCACTTTGTATTGGTCAGATGTTTACCCTGGGGTAGTATGGCCTTTATGATCACTCAGCCAGAGCTATATCTGACTTAGTACATTACAGAGCTATATTTTATTCCTGTAATGTCAAGCTCAAATGTAAATCTCTGACAGGCCCCATGAGAAGCTGAAGGTTCTCAGAGATAATACTGTATCTGTATCAAAAGCCTGGACTTTGCAAAAGTCACCAGAATTGACCTCTGGCCCCCAAGTCTGGGCCTTCTAAAAGCACCCCTTTCTTATTCAATATATTTTTTCCTAATACTTGCGTTTCTTAGTTACACTATTCCCATTCACTGCTTCATTGATTTAGGGAAAGTAAGAAGAGTACTATGGAAAGTAATTTTATGACTTGGAATGATTCTTAGAAAAATATTCTGGTTCAATAAACATACAGATTCCAAACACGCCAGGTGTTTATGTTTCTTAAAGAACTATCAATGAATTCAAAACTCCTTCCATTTTTTTTTCATCTGAAAGAATAATAAACTCTTCCCCCCATGGATTGGGCTGGTTTTAGCTCTAGTTTATATGCCTGGTAATAAATGGTCTGTTATCCTGCCCAATTATAAGATAGATTAGTGGGTGGATTGATGCAGAGAGAGAAAGAAAAAGAAATCAGAGATAATTTTCCACTGAAAGGCCACAGTCATTTTATATAGCTTTTGAAATTAACCTATAAAAAAGGCAATAAATGTCTGAAAAAATTATAGCAATACATATGTGTACTGTGAGAAAGTTCTCTAAGCAGTTAGTCCAGCATTGTATCTTTCCCTCTAGCTGCTCCTGATTCGGATGATGTTGCTCTCTATGTTGGGATTGTGATCGCAGTGATTGTTTGCCTGGCCATCTCTGTTGTCGTGGCCCTATTTGTGTATCGGAAGAACCATCGTGACTTTGAGTCTGATATTATTGACTCTTCAGCCCTAAACGGGGGCTTTCAGCCTGTGAACATCAAGGCCGCCAGACAAGGTTGGTGGACRTTGAACTTCACACCCTGTTACTCATGCATGTATGAAGTTTCTTCAGGTGGTTTCAAGATCAATGATGTTTCCGTCTTCTAGTTCAGTTGGAACGTAAGCTCATTGAGGACAATGACATTATTGATTTTATTCATTATTGGATTGATGTCATTCCACAAAACAAATTAAGAGTTGTCAAGATTCATGCCAGGTGTGGTGGCACATGCCTATAATCTCAACTGCTCAGGAGGCAGAGGCAGGAGCATCTCAAGTTCAAAGCCAGCCTCAGCAAAAGCAAGGCACTAAGCAACTCAGTGAGACCCTGTCTCTAAATAAAACACAAAATAGGGCTGGGGATATGGATCAGTAGTTGAGTGCCCCTTAGTTCAATCCAAAGTACCAAAAAAAAAAAAAAAAAAAAAAGAGTTGACAGTGTTCACAAATCATTTTCTGCCCCCCTGGCACATTGCTCTGTCACACTTTTTAACCTCTGTTTGGCAAAAAGAACATTGATTTGTGGACTGACTTCCTAGTCTCTTTCTTTACCTTCTTTGACAAGATACCTTGTATTACTACGAATACAGTGATTTTCAAATGAACCCAAATCTGATATAGAAAAGGGACACTGTTACCTAATGGGGACCTCATGGGGCATACTCTTCAACCCAGTCTGTTGCAACAGCCAGATCCTTTGGGTAAAGTGAAGAGACCTCAAAGGAAAATATAGAATGAGCCAGTAACAAAATGGATGCTCGTTATCCACTTGCCCTGCTTTCAGCAGAGCCTGAGACTCTGTCCATCTCTAACATTTGCTGAGCTGCTTTGCTTTGGGCTCAGAAAGTGTGAGGGGGTGTCTGACTTATGTAGGCTGGCCCGAATGGAGAATGCCAATGGAATTTCTCTTTTCTCTGACTCAGATCTCCTGGCGGTGCCCCCAGACCTCACTTCAGCGGCAGCCATGTACAGGGGACCTGTCTACGCCTTACACGACGTCTCAGACAAAATCCCAATGACCAATTCTCCAATTCTGGATCCACTGCCCAACCTGAAAATCAAAGTGTACAACACCTCGGGGGCTGTCACTCCCCAAGATGACCTCTCTGAGTTTACAGCCAAGCTGTCCCCGCAGATGACCCAGTCCTTGCTGGAGAATGAGGCCCTTAACCTGAAGAATCAGAGTCTCGCCAGGCAGACGGACCCATCCTGTACAGCGTTTGGCACCTTCAACTCCCTTGGGGGCCACCTTATTGTTCCCAATTCAGGTAATTCCTAAAGGTTTCAATGGCAAAGATGCAACTTGAAAACATTTTTGTCCCCACATCCCTGTTTCCTTATTAAACTGAAAAGTTAACTGTGTATCTAACCCAAATCTCCTTTCAGCATAAATCAAATATTACCTCAGACCCAATCAGCAAAACCATTTATCTTCCCTCAAACAAGTCTGAAACACTTCCTCTAGAAATATTTGACTCCCAACTTTCTGCTGAGATACAATTTAGAACTGTCATTGACCTTCTTTTTAATAGAGCTTCGGGAGGCAGCCGTAAACCAGGAGCCCTCACAATTGTCACTGTATTATAAAAAGACAAATTAATTAGAAAAAAAAATGTCAGTTGATTCAGTTCCAGCTAACTAAAGGAAGAGACGTTTCAGAACACTAATTTTTTGATGATCAGAGACCTCATAATAGACATCAGATTCTTCCTTTATTAACTGAATTCTTCATCCCTCAATCTTCAACCACAAAGTATTTATAAGTCTGACCTTGGATATATCCATCTATAATATCAACCTAGAGAAAAAGCCTCAGAAGGACTTCCATGGTGACCTTAAGTTAGTGACCAATGATGTTGGATTAGAGATTGGTACTCATGAATCAGAAATAGTAATGGGTTTGGAACCATAGGCCAGAAGAGGGCTAATGACTTGCTCTTTGAATCTATCTTCACTCTTTGGAAAAAAAATGTGAATATTTTTAAATACAGTAATAGAAAGCAACTTCATTGACCTAATGTGTTAATGTCACATGAAAAATGCAATTAATATTCAGACCTATGGAGGATCTCTAGACCTGCATATGAAATTGTCTTTTTTTTTTTTTTTTTGGTACTGGGGATTGAACTCAGGAGCACTCAAACACTGAACCACATCCCCGGCGCTATTTTGTATTTTATTTGGAGACAAGGATTCACTGAGTTGCTTAGCACCTTGCTTTTGCTGAGGTTGGCTTTGAACTAGTGATCCTCCTGCCTCAGCCTCCTGAGCAGCTGGGATTACAGGCATGCCCTACCATACCTGGCTTGTCTTTGATTCTTATTCTCCCATTGCAATGCCTTTCATAGCATACTTTTAAAGAAGAAAAATTTTAATACAGTTGAAATATTTAATAGAATGTCATTTTGCCTTTATACATTTTACATAGCTGAGATGTTTTATTTTAAATGCTTTTTTTTTGCCTTTTTCTCAATTTCATTATATTTGTATGCTCTTTAAGATTATGATATTTTAGTATATTTATATTAGGACATCAGATGACTCCAGGAAAACATTTTCTATTTTCTCCCATTGTTTTAATATTATGATTATTTCTAAGACCATTTCCCCCCCCCTGGGGATTCTGCTTTTCCTTCCCATTGCTACACTTGCCACTTATTCATATATGAATTATATAAAGGCTTCTTAAGTGGAAGGGAGGGAGCCAGTATGTTTTAAGTACTTAATATGTATGAGACAATGATCAGAAACATCATTTCATTTAATAAAGTAACATAGTCATTCATATTTGCCAGGCCTTATTGTTTCTAATTTACATCTATAATTTTTGTCATCCCCATAACAAAGACAAAGGTACATTTTTATGATTTTCATTGGGGAAAAAAATGCTGAGTCTTACTGGATTTGTGTGTTCTTCCTGCTCTCCCTCCATGCCCCCCACAACCATTCTCTATATATCAGCCTGATATTGACCTTCCTGCCCCACCAGGGCTCCCTCATCACTCTCCTTTTCAAGAGGGCCCTGACTCGGCATCTTCCATGAGCTATTCCAAGGCCTTTGTATCCCTACTTCCCCTTGACTCTCTCTTCTTTCCTCTTGAGCTATTGTAACGCAGTGGGGCAAGTTTTCTTGTTGCATCATGTTCATTTGACATATACCATTTCCTTGTTAACTATATGTTACTCAAGGACAAGAACACTACCTTTTCCTACTTGGCATTCACAATGGTGCCAAACACTGTTCTCACAAAGATACTCCATACATCCTTATTGAGCTGAATTAAAGTGCATTTCATGGGAATGAAATGATGGAGCTAAACATCCTCACAATGCTGACCCCCAACCCCAGTCCCAAGTCACTTTGAGATGATGATCAGTAGTGCCCTTCAGCAGTTCCTACAGGCTGGGCCCCGGACCTTCATCATGGGCATCACCTGGCAACTCATCAGAACTATAGAATCTCCCATCCCCACCTCAACATTTTCAATCAGAAACTCTGTAGTAAGGTCCCCTAATCTGTGGTCTAACAAACCCTTCAGGTGATCCTGATGCAAACTCAATGGCAAAGGATTGCTGCATGCACAGTTAGCTTAGAGCACAGTTCAGTCCAAAAGTGCTCCCACAGGGCACCAATTAGCAGCTAAGTAGAAGTGCTTTGCCTGGCTCTAACTAAACTCACAGTTCACCTTTTTGAGTTATGTGTAACAAAAGTACCTCAACAATTCTGATTCTGTTGTAGAATACATGATGATAACCAGATATTTCAGAAATAAATCTTTTTTGATATGGTTGAGGTTGTCTTTGAATCTTGTGGAGACTTTTTTTAATTAGAAACAATGGATCATTACTGCTGTTTGAAAGTTTATAGCAGTTTTTGGTTTTTCTCTTGTTTTACAAGGAAAATAACAGTGGAACCATCTGTCTCTTCCTTAAATAAAACCAGGGTTTAAAAAATCCTTCCTCTAAGTAATTCCATAACAGTTCAGAGGGAACTGTGGTAACTACAGAGGCCAATAAGGAAGGAAAACAGGGCAGCTATGAGTATTTACATGTCTTTGGAGAAAAAGCAGCAGTCTTAGTGCTGCGTGATCACAGAATTTCCTCATTACTTTTTGCTTGCTGCAAAGGCATTTCTTTCTAGAAGTTTCCTTTTGATTCACAGGTCTCATACAACTGCTTTTTTCTTTTGCTGCTCAGGAGTAAGCTTGCTGATTCCTGCTGGGGCCATTCCCCAAGGGAGAGTCTACGAAATGTATGTGACTGTACACAGGAAAGAAAATATGAGGTAAATATGCTTTTTTTTCCCCCTGATGCACTTGACTTTACCAGTCWAACTTGGAGGAGAATTGTACAAGAGAAACAATAAACCCAACATATTTTTGTCTTAAATGACATACAGCTTTCTCTAGACCTGTAAAAGGTCAAGTTATACTTCTTTTTACCTTTGAAGCTTCTGACACTTTTGCAGATCTTGAGGATGGGTGGAATGCCTAAGATCTTTGTTCCAAGTAGACATGTGGCCATATTAACATGGAAAAAGTGGTCAGAATGTGATCCCTGGAATGTCCAGAGAGATGTGTGAGTTGACACAGAGACATTGACTTTGTGTGGCCCTATTCAGAAATCTAGCCTGTTCCCATTACAGGGTTAAAGGTCTCAAAGGATTGGACACCCATAACCCCTGACCCGCCCCTCCTACCTCAGTTTAGCGCCGACATTCACCCACAGAATTTTTTGTGATTCTCTTCCAATGTGTCATCAGCCCCCTTCTTACGTTTAGTACTTATAAATTTCAAACTCAGGCCTTTCAAAGTGGGTCAAGGGTTGGTTAAAACTAGATGGAATCAAAAGGTTGTGTTTCGAATGGGTCCTAATCACAAAGAGGAAATTATTTTAAGTAAAATTAACACAAGGGGTTTAGAAGTTCTAAAATCAGTTTTCAGTTTGAAGTTTAATGAATCATTGAGAGTCTTTCTCAATCTGTTCCCACATAAAGTGTGTGTTAAATAGTCCTTCAGAGGCCTCTAAGGAACACAGAAGCCTTAATATAACAGACGCTGTTAAAAAGGAAGACCCTCATCATGTAATGACCATTGTTCATCATGAGGGGAATAGTGTGGGCTCCTCAGCCCTGAGCTCAGAGTACAAAGAGTGAGTGACAAATGTAGAAGTAGGTTATCATTATCACGCATTATGCCTTTTCTTTAACCCGCTCTCATCCTCAGAAAAACATCCATTTTTAGTCTTCAGTAGCTGAAAGAGCTCCTTTATTATGCACTCAGGTGGACAGATAGGTATTTATAATCGGTATGACCCAGAACATTTTTTTCCTCAGGTGGTGTACTTTCACCTATGCAAACAATAGCCAGAATAAGAGGAGAATAAAATTCCTTGAGCATTATTCGTGCCTTAAATTTGAGCAACCGAAAGTCACTTAAAGGCCTGTATTTACCTACATGAAATATTTATTCTTTTCATTCCCAATGCAAAGCTACATTCACAGACCTCAGAACTCCTTCTTTTGCAGCAGGAGAAAAAAAAATTAGCAAACTCCAAGATCCTTTTATTTTATTCATTTTTTTTCTCTTGTTCGGGGTTAAAGTTAGCATTAAATATGTCCATCCATCAAGGCTTTTGCCCACGTGGCCATTTGCTTAAGTAGAAATGAGTATTGGCTTGTGCTTTTGGAGAAACCATGAGGGGCTGATGGCCTCTATGTTCATCTGATTACCATTATCTGCAGCTGAAGATCAGACCTTAAGGGGCTATTGCAGGCGCCGGCTAAAGCTGAATATGTGTAACTCATCTGGTTTTTCTTCCCAAACTTTAGTTGGCATTCTAACCAGGATAATTGTGCATTTGAAATGAAGGAAAGAGAAAGCAGAAAATTGGTAAAGCTAGACACACTGCTTTTAGGTTCCATTTCTTTTAACTGTAAAGAAAAGAAAACAATAAATCACTCCTTGCTGTGCCTACCACCTAAGGTTAGGTGCACAGGGAATCACTTCACTGAATTTGGAGTGCAACAAAGAAGTCCTGTTTATAAAGATGATTCTAGACAAAGCTCAAGATCTCAAAAGAAAATATGCACCAGAGACCATGAAACAAGGAACAAACACAAGAAGATGACCGTCTCAGATAAATGAGAAGTCCTCTCTCCACTCATGTTCCATTGTGACCTAGATGCATTTTTTCTTGTAAAAAGCACAATGGCAAGATTGTGCTTTAATATAGTAATAATGCAAAGCTTTGTGGCAATGTCTTCAGCATACTCCTCATTTATTCCTCAGTGCAGCTCTGCAAGTGATAAAGAGCTTCTCTTTGAAGACTAAGAAACTATGTCTCAGGGAAATTAAGTCACATAGTCAAGATTTCCCAGTTAGTAACTAAGGGTGGCAGAATTCAAACCCAGGTTCGTCTGACCCCAAGGACTCTTGGGTGTTCTTAGATTCATTCCTCCTGCATAGCACTGGCACTCAGCAAACCTCTGTTTCTTATGATCCTGCATTGTGGACAGAGTGTCTACTGCTCACTAAAGACCCTTTCCATCCTCACATGATATGAGATGGAACTTCTCTGGAGGAAGACGTGGTAAGGATCAGAAGGCATGGGTATCATTTCAAGGCATGTGTAGGAAAATTCTGAATATTTGCCTCCATTCTCCCTCTTTCTGATTCTTTCATAATATCAAAAATTAGGTGTGTTTCCAGCTGGATGGTATCCAGCTGGTCATCTGCTGATATGAATTGCCTGACAGGAGGCGTGAACTTAATTGCATGTGGCATAGTGAATGTGACAAGAGGGACCTTATCATTACTGAATATGCTCTTTAGAAAGCGCAAGCTGGATAGGCTGAAAGAGCCAGAGATGCGACAAGCCACCTCTGACCAAAGAGGGTGTGGAGCCTCAAGGCTGCACCCAGCATTTCTGCCTCTCCTGCTTTATAGATCTAGAGAGGTTGCAAAGCCTGTTCCCCCTGTGGATACAAGTTCCGTGACCAAGTGGCCCTTTTGCCTCATTTCTAGTAACAAGTTTTTAAAATTAGTCTAAGATCGAAACATTGTCCTTTGTCAGCTCTTACGGCAAAGCAATTTGAGAGTAGAGTGCTTGCCTAGCATGCCCGAGGCCCTGGGTTCAATCCCCAGCAATGAAAAAATATATAGAAAACTTAATTTCCCCTTTCCTTAGTGTTCTCCCAGTGGCTTTATCAAAAGGCAAGCAAAAAAGAAAAGAAAATCAATTTAGAATTTCCAAATATAAAAGTAAATAGAACTCTTTTTTGTAAACTGTAGGGAGCCACAGAAGGCTTCTGAGCAGCCAAGTGACACAGGAATAGTGGTGCTTTTTAAAGATTGATTTGGCGACAGTGTGATCGAATTGATAGAGGAAATAGACTCTTCCTGAAGGCTAGGTGCTGGGTTCTGCTGTGGCAGCAATTTAGGTGGGAGGAGAGAGGGGAGAGTGAGTCAGGCCTGAGTCTGAGAGGACAGAAAGTAAAATGTATTGAGGAAGGGAAGGAATTTCATCCCTGACCCACAGTGTTGAGAAGGAATGCACAGAATCCATTTAGGATGCAAGTCCTGGGCACTGTAAGAATGTGCAGAGCAACAGAAGAAAGAGGTCAGAAGCAGCAACTGGCTGGAGGCGGGRAATCATGGACTGCAAACAAGAGGTGTTCGGGATGCAAGTGGGGATAAGGAGTCCACTAGAGACACACAAGAGCAGTYGTGGCAGTGGATAAGTCTGTGACAGAGAAAATGTAGGGACAGAAAGAAGAAAGCTGGGGAAACAACTTTGGGAAATATTCCCATTCAGGTTTGGGTGTAAAGAGAGAAACTAAATTACCTTGTAAGGATAAGGAACTAGATAAAGAGTTTGCATGCAGCACTGCACTTGACATGAAGGGGCTCCTCAGTGAATATTTTTGAATGAAAGAATATTTGTATAAGGATATATCAATCAACTGCAGTAGAGGGGGATCCCAAGAAACAAAGGGAAAGAGAGCTTCAAGATGGCTGAGATGGTTAACAGTTCAGATGCCAAAACAAAATGTAAAGACAGAGGAAGAACAAGGAAAAATACACATTTTGTATGTACAATGCAAGTGTATGTGTATAAATAATTAGACAAAAATAATAATAAATACAGTTTGTCGCCTGTAGGAATTGGTAGTGTTTAGAATTTTTTTCCCCCAAAATTCCTGTAGAAATCACTTCAGAATGGTTTAAGGTGAGTTAAGGAAGGCCACCAAAGCTATCATATATATATCTACTAAATACAAACAGTGAAGTGTTTGTTAGGTTAAAGTGGAAGGCCAAAATTCCCTTAGGTGAGTAATCATGCCTAAATCCTTTTTGTTTATTTTGACATGTTACCGTTTGGAATTTTATAAAATAGCAGTTGACATTTCTCAGTGACACTTAGAGTTATTTCTCCTTTTTGGTAGAGAGACTCCTTTCTCGTTCATGAGTCCCAAGTTCCTATGATTGAAGCAATAGCTATAAAAAGACTAAAGGGTGGAGGCAACAGAGACCAGGTATATGTAAATGTCATTCTCTCCTGATTCTGAACCATGTTTATATATTGAAATCCTACTTATAAAGAAATGTTGCAAGGTGGTTTATAAAAAATACATTATTTTCTTTTGGGTCTCAGTGGAAGGGATGAACTTAAAGAAGTGGATGAAAAAAAAAGATAAGAAAATGGGGAAAGTAAGGTTATTAAAGATAAGATAAAGTCAGGTGAGCAGCTGGAATATAATAGATTTGATATAATTCCCTGCACATTCCCTGGTAATAGATCATGAATTGACTGTTTCTAAGCTTTCAAAAGGAAAATGTGAAATAGGCCCAGAAGCTCAATTATCATTCTCTGATTCCTCAAAAACAAGACATTTTGATAATACAACCAACAGCATTCTGATAATAAAAATAGCAATGAGTTTCAAGGTCTGCTTCTATTAGTGTCCTTCAGTGGAAACAGATTATCTAAGGCCTAAGCACACATTCAGTGAAATAATTCCACAAAGACCCAGCTATTCCATCCAGAGCACAATGCTCAGTTGTTCTGGCTTCATCCAGGGATAGATTCTGCCTGTCTGGGGAAATGGTGGCATGCCCTTCAGAGTGGCTTGCATAAATATGTTTTTTTGCTCAATTGAGCTTTTGATAGCAAGTGAGTTAGATATTCCCTGTCAGGTACCTAGAGTGCAAATATTTCAAGTTGCCAGTTATGTGGGAAGGCGTGTGCTTGAAAAGGCAGCTGAGCCTAGGGTGGGACTGTCATCCCGAGAGGCCTAACAAAAGAGATGAGCATCTCATGTCCACCCAGAGGTGGATGGAGGGAGAACCATTCTTTCTTTCTAAAGAGTTTTGCTCTAACAAAACCGACAAGAAAGTCCTTACACCCATTACAAGCAACACAAAATACACCACTGTGTGAAAGAAACAAAATGACTCCTGTTTGAAATCTCGCTTTGCTCTGTGTCCTGAGGCAAGCATGTTAACTAACAGCTCTGGATATCAGTTTACCATACTGGGGAAAAAAAATGTAATATAAACACTTTACCTTACAGGTATGCCATGAGCAGCAAATGCAATTGTTCATGTGGAAATTGTGTAAATTATGCACTTCTGTGTAGAAGTTCTCCTCACTGATAATAGCAAGCAAGAAATGAAAAATATCTCTGACAAGAAACAAACTCTTATGGACTTTGTCCTACAGGCCTCAGGACCCATCCAGCATTTACCATGATATTGTCTTTGTTGGTCTTTAAGAAGTCTCTAAAATTTAATCATTGTTCATTGCTAAATTTCTACTTAATTGCTGCTTCTGCAGCTAATTTTTGCTCTCTGTTCATCTCCATTTCATCTGCAATTAATATTTACAGACTGCTTGAATAGCTTGGATAACACAAGAGACATGATGGAGTGAGGCCCTTCTCTACAAAACATGAATCAGAGTTATATTTAATTTCTACTGTTTTATGTATGCTTAGTATCCTACCTTTATATAAATAAAGGAAAGGTGAATTTAGACACTCTGACCTTTGGTTTCACAAAGTTAAATCTGATCTAAGTCACTCTTTCTGTATATGCTCAGAAATGTTTCCAATTTCAAGCCGATTTCTTTCATCTTGAAAGCATTTGAGTGTCTTATTATTTCTTCTTTGTTTTTCATCCCCTGTTATGAATTCCACTTCACCACTTCCCTATTCATTACATTCTCCCACCTCACTGGGTTAATAAATTCTTTTGACACTCATTGTCCCTCCTTCCTCCCCGCTTCCCTTGCTATCCCTCCTGCAAGAACAGTGCCCATCAATATTGCATGCCAGTGGTGTGCTTGGAGAATACCAGTCTGACAGCTCCCCAACCCAGCAGGGAATCTTCTGCTCCCTTCTGTTCCAATTCAATGACAAGAAGAACCCCTGCTTCCTATCCTTCCTGCCTTCAAGCACTGGCTGCTGACACCAGACTGAGAGACAGATGTTTCCAATCTCCAGTTATATTGCAAGGGCCACTTGAAATGGATTCCACTTTAGGCTCCTTCCTCAAAAGTTTAATACTCACTTCTTGAGGTACACTTGTAACTAAAAGGTAAGAGCAGTGCTCTGGAAAATGCAATCATTGCAGATTTTTTTTTTTCTCCTTGGAAGGAAAAGTAGAATTAAGCAATAATAAAGTCACTGCCTAAGGCAGATAGTGTAATATTAAATATGACAAAATGAAAGCAAAACTTCAGTCATGTAAGAGAATGAATTTCAGACTGGAAAGAAGGAGGACAAACTGGGTTAAAAGAAAATGAAAATCAGAGTGGAAAAGGGGATAGTAATGAGGTCTCAAGCTGCTGCTGATAACCTTATGATTTGAAGTGTAAGTACATTTCCAAGTACCTAGAAAACTTTAGATTGAATAGAGAAAACTTTGTTGTTATTCATAGAGAATGGAGACAATATTAAAAGACTAAAAGTAGGTAATGTTTGTTTGGGGTTTCTAAATAGGAAGAGAGAAAGACATARGTTGGTGGATCTGAGTGCAATTTTAAAGTTAGAGAGGAAGCAGTGATAGCTAAGACTTTTTAAGGATAATAAATGCCAAATTTTAATTCAGAGTTTAGAACTGATAATAATTGTCATCTGTGATTGCTCCAAGATGTGACCTTACTTGTGAGGTGTGAGGTCTCTACTTTGATTTTGTGGCTACTGATGGAAGATACAAAACTCCTGGGTCAGAGACAAAGGACAGTTTGTTAGCAATCATGTCATCTAGAATATTATCTCTTTGTGCTAGTTTCCTGAGCCCAGGTTCTCAAAGGGTGATACAAAGAGCATCAGATGACATCTACACACTTACATGTTGGATTCCAGTAAAGGACCTCTGAGCTTAGGGAACCTGGGTCTTTGTAATGAGAAGGAAAACTGCCTGCCATTTGCTCCAGAGCAGACACTATTTTTATATTCCAAGGCAACTCTTCTACAAGCATCCTTGAAAAGACATTAAAGAGTGCACAGTAATATGAGAAATCCATGGAGAATTATCTTCCAACAATATTAAAAATAATAATAGCTACTATCATTCATTGAGTGTTAAATGAAGGTAAGCCAGATAAACTAACTTCTAGATKCTGTAATAAATAATATATAAACTACAGATAAAGAATAGAGAAAAATCAATTTCAAGTGGCCATTGCAATTACAAAGGAATTTGATATGTCCTTTTTAATATCTATGTGAATAAGATAAAGGGGATGTCAACTGGACAATGTACATTTTAATGGGTTTCTATTTGGTTGAACTAAATAACTCAAAGGTATTGATGCTAGATGGGAGAGAGTTTTCAAGTGGTGTCCTTGAAAAGATTTCTGTCCTTGCCTTATTCTTGCGTTACAATGTTATCAGTGATTGTAATGAAAGCACAGATGGCAGACATATGAGATTTATGCCTAAGGATGAAAGACTGGCAGATACAGCCAATATTTGGAAGAAAGACGTAACATTAAGAAATTTACTGTGAGACTATTAAGGTAAAATCAAAAAGCTTAATTTAAATGACCATACCTAGATTCAAAAGCCATTACTGCTAACACATAACAATATAAAGTATGCCTAAGAGTCATTCATGTAAGGAACACATAGAGTGGTTAGTTTTAACAAATTACTTAACTTCCTTGGGCCTTTCATTGCCTCATTTTATAAAGGAGATACTTAGCCATACTATCTCCATCTTTCTTTCTAACTGGAGCCTTCTCAATAATATTTATAAGTAATTACTTGATTACCAGTAATCTCAGAGAACAATTTTATGATGAATGAATATAACTACACATTTCAAATCAAAGAAATAGTAGTACCTCATAGTATTTGAATATTGAGTTCACTTTAAGATTCCCCAAACTATGGTGGACACTGTAAAAATTCCATGTGAAGATGAAGAGATCTGGAGACCATATTTTGCCAGTTGTTGCTGAAAAAAGATGAGAATGTTTGGTGTGAAATGAAGATTTTGGAGTTGTAACAATCTCCAAATATATGAAACAAAGTGGGCTAGAAAACAGGTCAAAGATTGGTGAAGAGAAACTTCAGGAAACTAGATTGGGTTCATCCCAGCTAAGGATCTTTTTGAAATTTGAGTGTTTAATAAACAGGATGACCCTTTGGTAGCAATGGACTGTCAATGTGGATGTGTCTAAAGCACAGCCATGTTGTCAGAGGTTCCTGCTTTAGATAGAAGATGATGTTCAGTGGCCTCCTGAGGGATCGTGAAATTCTTTGGATCCACATTCTCTAAGGCCAGGCTACTCTAACAGTGGCTTGAGCATTGTTATTGGGAAGGCATCAGTTTTAGTCCCTGCGCTAACCAGCACTTACGAGGTGTGAGACTTTGTACCATCCACTTAACACTTATGAGATGACTACTCACCTATCAAGATAGGTTAATTTATCCATTTGATTGTTGGTTAAAATCTTTTGGGGGAAACAATATGTTAGTCTTTAAAAAATAATAAAAGAAAAGAATTTAGATCTTTGAGGTTCTTTCTGCCCAGATCTGAATATGAGATATATAAATAAAGAGTACTTATTTTAATTTCTATAGAAATACAGTTCTATAGTGTGTCTGGTCATATTTGAAAGAATGAATCTGCCATACTAGCCTGAATTATTCCTGAAAGTCATTTGGACTAAGTTTAGCTCCAGGGTGTCCTCATTCTGAAGTGATTTTTTTTTTAAGTATTTTACAAGTTAGGTCCTAAAAACACAAAAGTATTTAAAACCCTGTGAGACCAATGGCAAGTATTATCAGAAAAGCTAGTTATATAACTTCATAAGGACTCTGTTCTTTCTCATTCCATCCTGAAAAGTATCAGCACATATATTCAGAGGAAGCTACCAAAGGCAACCTGTGTCTGAGGGAGGGAATCAAAGAGATGATGGCAAATTCCCTGTTTTCATAGAGACCTCCAGTCTTGAAAGATGAAAGCCTTGGTATAAAGAGCATGTCTTCACATTTATTTCTGCCTCACTCCCCCACTCCCCCCCAAAAAAAAAAACCCAAGAGAAAACTATTTGAACTGTTTGTACAACTTTAGATCTCAGATCTCAACAAGTACGCAGTGCATAATTACTATGAAATGTCACTGACATAGTTCTCTGCTCTCCTACCAGGCCACCCATGGAAGACTCTCAGACGCTCTTGACCCCAGTGGTGAGCTGTGGGCCTCCGGGAGCCCTGCTGACCCGCCCTGTCATCCTCACTCTGCATCACTGTGCAGATCCCAATACAGAGGACTGGAAGATCCAGCTCAAAAACCAGACAGCACAGGGACAGTGGGAGGTGAGGGGGCTTCTTTCAGAGTAAAGATGGGATTCGTGCACATCAGTAGGAGTAACTATGGGAGGCCTTCATTTCTAAAGCAAAACATCAGGGGAGAAGTTTAGGTTGTACTCAAAATGAGAGAGACTAGTTTCTGAGTAGTGTGTCTGTGTGTGTGTGTGTGTGTGTGTGTGTGTGTGTGTGTGCGCGTTTGTGTATGCACATATACATGCATATACATACATACACTCTTATCTTTTTAATTTATTTAAATTTGGTGGGAGAGAGTCATTGCACATTGTACCTTGGTTAGAGCATGTTAGGCACTTAATTGCAGAGAAGTATTTAAGATATAGTCTTGTGAATTTAAACTGAGAAAACAGAAAGGAAGTGTCTCCAAAGCTCTACTTTGAATGAAGAGAATCTGGGGCACCTTGTCCTTCTACATCTATTGCCATCATAACTTCAGGGCCTTCAGTGGGCCCCACTTCTCACATCAGAACCTGTCACTTAGCACCTGTATCTGAGGAATATGCTTTATCAAATAATGCCAATTATATAACTCTCTCTGTGTCTCTCTCTCTCTCTCTCTCTCTCTCTCTATATATATATATATATATAATAAAATTATGAAATATGAAGTTGTAATATACAAAGTATGTTATACTATATATATACATAAGTATGTCATATACATGTATAATATGCAAAGTATATATTATGTACTTCATGATTACATATGGTATTTTTCATTTAGGGAACAAATTTTTAAAGATATATTTGAAGATTTAAACCCCTAATATTTTAGGAATGTAGAGTTAGCAGAATAGGAGGGCATCCTGGAATTAATTAGATTTTTCTTTCTATGGATATCTGCTACTCTTGGCCATATGAGGAGATCATGCTCTGTGTGTGTGTGTGTGTGTGTGTGTGTGTGTGTGTATGTATGTGTAAGGGAGATAATGGTGATTGTACCCAGAATTGTTTGTCATTGAGCTACATCCCCAGTCTGTTGTGGGTTTTTTGTTTGTTTTTTAATCGAGGTCTTACTAAATTTCTGATACTGGCCTTGAACTTGCAATCCTCCTGCCTCAGCCTCCCAAGTTGCTGGGATTATAGGCCTGTGCACCACTGCACTCAGCAAAAAAAAGTATATTAAAGACATCAAGCCTGCCAAATCTTGCCTTCCATGAAATGTGGCAAGAAAGATAGTTTGAAAAAAACAGTGTCCTGCTTTGGGAAGTAACTAGCAAGTGAATTTTGAAAGAATGCAATTGGATGGTATTGCATAAGGCCTTAGTTTTCCTAATTCTTTTCAAGTATATGGGTTTTTTTAGGGGAAAAACTGTTATACTATAATGGCACAGCAAAACATTATACTTTTAGATTAAATAATAAATATATATTAAATCATTCACTTCTCAGAAACAGAAAATAAACTAAGGTGTACTGAAGTCAGGGTAACTTATGAAGGTATTTTGGATTTTCATGTAGATTCCAGTAATGTAGATTCTAGGAAGATCAAAAAAACAGCCAAGCAAGGTAGCACAAGCCTATAATCCCAGTGGCTCAGGAGGGTGAGGCAGGAGGATTGCAAATTCAAAGCCAGACTCAGCAACTCAGTGAGACCCTGTCTCTCCATAAAATATAAAAAGGGTTAGGGATGTGGTTCAGTGGTTAAATTCCTCTGGGTTCAAACCCCAGTACCAAAAAAAAAAAATGCACTGTGTAAAAGACTTCAACATAAAGAACATTATCAGCATATAGGTGGCAAAGGGAAGAGTAGAAAAGGAGATAATTATAATTATTAAGAATGGAAGTAGAGGTCTGGGTCTGGGGCTCAGTGGTGGAGCGCTTGCCTACCAAGTGTGAGGCACTGGGTTCAATCCTCAGCACCACATAAAAATAAATAAACAAAATAAAGGCATTATGTCCATCTACAACTAAAAAAAAGAAAAAGAAAAAAGAAAAAAAGAAGAGTGGAAGTAGCAGAATCAAAAGGCCTGAGAAAGAAAGGAATAGGAAAGGATAAAGAATAATGAGCACTCAGGAGAGGAGACTACTCTGCCTACCACCACCCACAGCGACCAGCATGCATCCTCCGTGGCTTAGAAATATATATTATAAGCCCTGTCCCTTGTCTCTTCCAGGATGTAGTAGTGGTTGGAGAGGAAAACTTCACTACCCCCTGCTACATTCAGCTGGATGCAGAGGCCTGCCACATCCTCACAGAGAACCTCAGCACCTACGCCCTGGTTGGGCAATCCACCACCAAAGCCGCAGCAAAACGCCTGAAATTAGCCATCTTTGGGCCTCTCTGCTGTTCCTCCCTGGAGTACAGCATCCGGGTCTACTGTTTGGATGACACTCAGGATGCCCTGAAGGTTAGTGACTCCTGCCTGACACTCCTTCTTCTTCACTCCACTTGTAAGCCAAGGTTTGGTGTGGCTGAACACACCTGGAGATTTGTCTGTGCACATGCACCCAGGTGTGTGAACACGTGCATTCCGCCCCAAAAGACACAGTTAAAGAAACAGACAAATCTCTGGGGCCATGCTGATGTATGAGCCGTTTCCTTAATGCTGATTCCTCCCAATGGGCTACTTTTGTTTACCTTCCTTGATTTCTTTTAATGAAAAATGTAGAAGAGTTTGGCAAGGAAACCCGTGGATGGTAAATAATCTGCTTCCATGTTTATCTCAGCTGTGTTCTTCCTATAAAAGAAATTGGCGTAATTGCTCACACTGTATGTTCCTCTTGTGTGCTACTTCATTTATATGCTTTCCCATTCTTTTTACGAGGGCTGTGAGGGAGAGGGTTAGCATTTGACAACAGGCTGCTGCTTTGCAGAATAAATGAGCTTAATTCCTGGTGTGATTATTGCCATTCATTTTATCCCATTTGAAGCTTTAAGGGATATAATAAGTGCCTTTGAAAAAGTTATGATCTAGAAAGAAGAATAAAAGAAGTATGGCAAGGATGAGGAGATAAGTCAGAATGTGATGAATGTCACAGCCAAGATGCAAAGTTCATGCAAGTTCAAGAGACAGAGGCGTCATGTTATTTTGAGAAAAGATGAAAAGAAGCTAACATTTGAAATTGACCAAAGTGGAAGGTAGGGTTTTGACTAAAAATTCAATATTTCCAGGTGGAGGAAACAGCATGCAGAAACACAGAGCAAATGATGCCTCTAGGCAGGCATATTATTCCAGGAAGCCTAGAGTGACAGGTTCCTCCCATGAAGAGAGACCTTGACTTTCAGTGAGAGGAGTTGAGGTTCAATCTGATGAGTTAATAGAGATAGAGAGGTTTAAACAGAAGAAAGACATGATCAAAAATATACATTAGAAATATTAGTCTGAGGGGCTGGGATTGTGGCTCAGCGGTAGAGCACTCGCCTAGCACAGGCAGGACCTGGGTTCAATCCTCAGCACCACATAAAAATAAAGGCATTGTGTTGTGTCCATCTACACCTAAGGAAAAAAATAAATATTTTTTTAAAAAATAAATATTAGTTTGACTTCAGTGGGAAGAGAGAGTCAGTTAATAAGAAGAGCAGGATAGAGCTGAGATGATAATAGAAGAGGATGATAAATGGAACAGGAGAAAAGGTCCTGTTCAGTAACCTTTATCAGGCCTGGTCACTAACCTCAGTGGATGGAGTAAGAGATCAGACTTGTATCTCTAAATGGTAGTAAACTCAGGGGACAGGCAACTTTGAGGTTACGGCCTTAGTTCAGGCTGCTATAACAAAATACCCAGGATGGGATGGCTTAAACAACAGTTCTTTCTCACAGTTGTGGAGGCTGGAGACTTGACATCAGGGTGCCAGCTTGGCTGGGCTCTGGTAAGAGCCTCTTCCTGGTTGCAGACTGCTAACTTCTCACTGTGTCCTTACATGGTAGAGAGATTACTAGAGTTTTCCCTCACCCCAACCCTGAAGGCCCTATCTCTTAATACCACCACATTGGGGGTTGGGATCACTAAATATGAATTTTGAAGGATACAAATATTCCATCTATAACAGTGCTTATTCTTTTAGAATACTGGATTAGAAGCATAAATTGGGCATTCAGACAGAGATACCCGGGCACAGTTAGAAATACAGGTGTGGCTTTGTACCAATCTCTTGCAACCCCTGTCCTTGCCCACCTCTGGTAGTTACTTGTCTGCTGTCTACTTCTATGACATCAACTTCTTTCATTTCCATACATAAGTGAGCTCATGCAGTGTTTGTCTTTCTGTGCCTGGTATCAAAGTGTACCCCATAAATGTGTAAAACTATTATGTGTCAATTAAGGCAATGTTTAAAAAGCCATACCCAATCTTTTTGAAATAAATATAGATGTGGCTGTCCGGACAGAGAGATGATCCCAAGATATACATTCAGGAACCAACAATATTGATATTTGTCATCCAAGGTGACCAGGGAAAATACTAAAAGACAATAGAGAGAGAAAATAATAATAATAATAACAACAAAACAGTAATGTATTTCTGAGAGCTTCCTATGTACCAGGCAAAATTCCAAATATTTTGTATTAACTCATTTAATCCTCACAGAAATTCTATATCAATCTCATTATCCCCACTTGACTGATATGCTAAACATGGCACAGAAAGTTCAAGTCAGTTTTTCTAGATTGCATCAGCTACTATGAGGAGAAGTCAGGCTTTGTAGCTGCATCTGGATGTCAGGTTGAGCTGCTTGAAGAGTCACATCCTGGATGACAGGGACCAAGGAGGAGAAAGGACAGCCAGCAGGGTGCCCAAGTTGCTAAAGAAAGATGAGCATCCAGAGGAAGAAGAGAAGGGGGAAAAACAAGTCCAGGAAGCCAAGGGAAGAAATTTTTTCTGTCAGGGTATTTCCTATGGAGTTTCCATCTACAGGGTAGTTCTGGGGTCATGAAAACAAAATTGACTCAAGGGACACAAATTGGGGCAGAGAGACAAGTGAGGAGCCAATTGCAATCATCCTTCCTCATGGTGGATCTGACCAGCTTGGTTCCCAGGGGAGGGGATAAGACCCGGTGGGTTGCTTGCTGGATGTATTTTTGATGATCAAGCCTATAGGATTTTTTTTTTTTTGATGTGGAATAAATGATGCGAACACACAGCTCTAGTGTAAAGCTTCAGGACATTTCTTCTAGACTCCTTGAAAATGCAATACCTCTAAGACACTAAGAAGCATCATGATTTCTAAGGTAGAAATCATGCAAGGCTTAAATTCTTCTTAGGGAAAGTTGTATTTGTTTGGGGATCCTGGGATCTGATTAACACAAATCTTTTCAAAGAATTCCAGGAAAATTATTGCAAAAATCATACCATAGAAGACCCAAATCATATCTAAAGTGTTTGGTACACGTAGTTTTATTCACACACATAGTTATACTCAGAAAACTCTTGTCCTGTCTTCCCAGCAGACACACAGAGATCTATTAAAAATGCAAATGTATATTTTATAAAATACATTTGATTATGTTGATTAGAAAGCCATGCCAATGGTCAACACTGAGAAAGACCAATGAACAGCTTTTTTTGCAGTGAAAATAACCCCAAAGTAGTTTGTATTGTGGTCAGTGCTTTCCAAATAGACCTTTATAAATTTTCAGCATCTGGGGATCCAGCACTTAGCCTGAACCAAAACATGAATAATGGATGAGGCATTCTTAAACCTCATAGACTTTTAATAATGCAAAAATATCAAAATTCTAGTTGTAGGTAAATGGTCTGTCCAACATACCAAAGAGATAGTTTAGTCACATTTATACAATCTCACATTCACCCTTGAATTTTGAGTGGATTAGGAGTGGATTAGCTGGAAAAGGCCCTTCAAGGCTCAAACTTTGCCTTCTTGGCACCCTGCTTGCTAATGTTCCCTGCCAGTCTCTCTGATGTCCCTGCTTCTCTTGTCGCTCTAACCCATAGTACATCACCCCTCCCAAGTCCTTCTTCCTCCTTCAGGCCTACCCCACTCCTGTTTCATGTTCTTCCCAACCCACTAGTTCTTTATCTCAACACACATAGGAATCAGTGACGAGCTTTTGAAAGACTCACTCCAGGGCTCTACCCCAAAGGCTCTGATCTAACTTGTCTGGGTACTGAAGTTTTTTCTTACGGCTACCTGTGTTATTCTCTTGTGAACTCATCCTAAATATTTTCATCTCTTTTTTGCAACTTTGATTGTATTAAGGACAAACTTCCCTACACCCCCAAATGGTTCTTTCCCCATTTCTTTACCTGACCACATTAACTACCAGTAGATCTTCCAGGTTAACAATGCCTGTCACGAAGTCCACACCCTTGAATTCACCACAGGCCAAAAGGAAAATTCTTTGGGGGGCTGGGAATGATACTGGCCATTGAACACAGGAGTGCTTTACCACTGAGCTACATTCCTCACACCTTTTTATTTTACTTTTTATTTTTAGACAGAGTCTCAATAAAGTTATTGAGGCTGGCCTTGAGTTTGCAATGCTCTTGCTTCAGCCTTCCCAGTTGCTGGGATTACAGGTGGACACCCAACTAGGTTGAAAATTCTAATAGTTCTCATACTCCATGACTATTTCTCTGGCATCTCTCCATTTTATGGGCTGGATCTTCCTTGTGTGGCTCATTACCTGTCTCAATTCCCTTAGCACAGTCAATATCCTCATCCTAGCAAGACTTGTCTCCATCATTCTTTCTACCCATTTTATTCCAACAATTCTCTGAAATTTAGTGTCACCACTTAAATCATAATCCCTTGGCCCAGAGGTCCTCTATTCCATCATTTGATCATCCCACATTATCTACCTACCAGTATAAATGTTCTATAGCTTTCATCCTTGTTGCCAAGACCTCCAATGGTGACTGGCTTAATTAATGACTACAACCATCTTTCCTTGCTGCACACTGAAGCTGCCCTTGGTTCTTAAGGAGAAACTTGCTTAACCTTTCCTGGTCTCCTGATCTATAAAAAGTCTGTAAAATTTCCTCTGTTCTTACCCATATCTATAGGGAACTCACTTCCCACATGAAATCACCTGTCATCTTGAGCTGGAGGAGGCTTTATGAATTTCCATAGCAATGATGACCTCAAATGAACACGTATGCTCTACTACAACTTTCAGTTCTACTCTGTTGTACTGCTATGAAAAAAAAAATCATACATTTCCAATTGAGTTTAAGCAACACCTCACCTGTTTCTCCACACACTTTTATTTCTCTCTTCTAGACTGTTGGATTTCACGCAGCATTCTTCCAAGTATCTTCCACTCCCCTGAAATTCCCAGTTGTCCTGCCTCTCCATGTTTAGAAATGACCTCACCTTCCAGTGGATGCATCCTTTCTGATTACAAATCCTTAACTTCAATCTCTTCTTCCATAATTTGGACTCTGATGA